CTCATGGGGTCCAGGTCTGAGTCGAACCCTGTTGGGTAGCCCATCGCCTGGAGAACCTGGAGAGGGAACAGCATGATCAAATAAAAAAAGAATGCAAGGAGATTTTTTAACAACTTGTGTTTCACCGCTATTCTAGCTACCTGCATCAATATATTTGAGTGTGTTGTTTTTGTACATTTTGAAATCAACATTGTCTCACTACTGTACTTAAACACAATCAAGATAGTGTTGTCAGCGGGCTTAGAGTGTGTGTAAAATACTTTAGCACACTTAATGGAATGAGAACATAATTCCACGGAGACATTAATGTCCCTTTGTGGGTGACTATGTTTTGAACAGACTTTATTAGCATAATTATCCATGAAGGTAGAGAGCTGCTAACAAGGGCAATAAGAATGAAAGTCCATGGACACATCTTTAAATGTGTTAATGGCTATATTCTAACAAGCAAGCAACTGCAGTACTGACATGACATAGTTCAATTTAAGTCACACAATGCTTAAATGAAAGCCATTACAATAGACTGGCAACACAGACTAAAGTGGTATGAGTCTACTGGAAGTCTACTCAGCAGACAGAGCAGCCACACAATATGAGCGTAGAAGAGGATCAAAGAATGACACCTTTTTTGACTCAAATGGGTGATTGTGTTACAGCTGCTGAACCAGCCAATGCAGAGGGGGGAGAGAAAGTGAGGGAGAGAGGGGGAGATCAAAAGGTGAACACACGAGAGAAAGAAAGTGAGCGAGTGAGAAGGAGAATGGAAAAGGGGGAGAAAGAGCCTTTTATGGGAATGGAGCGGAGAGAGGATTATCCTGGCTCTGTGCTCTGGAGAGCCTCTTTGTTCACAACCACTTTGGGATTACATGGATTTGCCCACCTCTATCCATCCTCACACGCACACACACACACACACACACACACACAAATAGCCATACACACACAGAAGCATATTTATTAATGTACAGGTTTGGCTGCAGCTGGAGCCTTTTTTATTTATTAAGAGTTTTGTCATTTAGCTTTTTTCTATTAAAGGTCCCCTATTATACTGTTTTTCATCAATATATTATAGGTCTCAGATAAATACGAACATGTCTCTGAAGTGTTTGGCTTCAAATACCAAACAGATCATTGCAGCATCCCATAATCCCCTCTGTTTCAGCCCTGTTTCCAAAGTGCTGATTCTCTGTCTGTTACTTTAGATGAAAATAAGGAGCCACTCCCCACGCCCCTCTGAGAGACATTTGGTTAAAAAGGGATAGTGGTGGTCTAATGGATAGTGAGGTGGGTTGAAGATCGGAAGGTTGTGAGTTCAAATCCCACCAGAAACACCACCACTAGTGTGCCCTTGAGTAAGGCACTTAGCCCTTATTTACTCCAGGGAGAATGTCCCGGTAATTGTAAGTCGCTTTGGA